GGGTGCTGTCAATCTTCCAGTGTGGGTTTAATCCGATCCATCTCCTTCTCCTTCTCCCTCGCCCCGCCCCGCCTCACCGCGCCCCGCCCCGCCACGCCACGTCACGCCCGGCCGCAGCCCTCTGTACTGTATTGTGCCCAGGCGACCAAGTGTTTGTCATTCGCTATTAAAAGGAAACATAGAGGGCCGCGTCGTTTAAATACCTTGTGCCGGCCCAGTGCGCAGGAGGGAGGGGATGAGGGAGGGGATGAGGGAGGGGGAGGTTACGGCACGGGGTGAGGTTCAGGTCGGGCTGGGGAGATCAAGAAACCGGCTAGAATGGCTGCTCATTCGATTCCTCTACTAAATGGATAGTACTCGGATGAGACGACAGGGAATGGAGACGGCGGTCTTCCGTATAGTTTTGTAAAACGGCAAACATTAAAGGAGCGCGGCGAGGTGAAAATGGGCCTGTGTCGGGGGGATGATGTAATGGCTGCAAATGATTCCCCCTGCCGCTTCCATGCCGCCCTCCGCTCTGCACCCACACCGCCGCTGGCCTTGCACCCTCGTGTGCCGCCGAACAACCCCCATGGGAACGTTTTCGGCCCCAACAGGTGTTTGGGGTAATTAAGCCTGCAGCTGAAGGGTCGGCCCGCGGGGGCGGCGGGCGCGGCGAGGGCGGTGAAGGGGCGGTGAAGGGGCGGTGAAGGGGCTGGTGGGGGTGGCCCGACCGGCGCCCGCGCTTCCGGCGCGTGGTGTTTTGATATCCCGGGGCTGATATGTCCGGATGCCGTCATGGCCGGGGCGCCTGCGAGGCCGAGGCCGCGGAGAGGCCTTGGACCCCCTGACCCCCTGCCGCGGCGCGTGCGTTCGGTGACGCATGCTGCTGTTTGCAGGGCTGACGCGGGGAGGGGGAAGCAGACCCAATCGGTAGTTAGCCATCGGAAATGAAAAATAAAACAGAGGCGAAGGAAGAGGAGAAACCCATCGCGCGGAGACGCGCAAAGGACGCTATGTATACATGGAGACAATGAGGGAGGGGTGAGCGGGAGCCAGGCGGAGCCAGGGCAGGGGCCGGGGGATGCAGGCGGAGCGAGGGAGTCGGAGAGAGCGGGGGTGGCGCGGGGGTTGGGGGTTGCGTGCGGCGGGGGTGGGGTGTGCCTGGGTGGTGGGGGTTGCTGGCGCGTAGGTCGAACCCTGCCATGCCGCCACCCAGTCCAGTGTGGTCCCGCGATTCGAAGCTCCCGCGTCCCGCCCGTGCGTCCGCCGCGCGTCCAGGGCGTCCCCCTCTGCGCGCGAACAAAGCCGACCGACCAGGGCGAACCGGACCCGGCGCAGAGCTCCGCGTCGAGGCGTTGGCGGCCACGTTAGGCATGCGCAGCTGTCGCTCTCTCGCGGATCTCGACGACGACGACGTCGTCCGCGACGTCCCGGCGGAGGAACGCTCCGCGTACTGTTGAGGGACTCCGCGTGAAGTCAACGGCGCCCTCCGTGTCGCGGGCAAGGCTACGTCCCCGTCGACCGAGACCGCCGCCAAGTTGGTCCACCTGGGCGGGAGCCTCGGCGAGGGTGAGGGCGCGCCGGAGCTCCGGGGCCAAGAGGGGCGGAGCGGCGGGCGGGCCGGGGCCGGGCGCGACCATGCCCTACCCTCCCTGCCGCGGCCGCCGGCCCACCGGGACGACCGGGACTACCGGGACCACCGGGAGGAGGAGATGAAGCCGGCCGAGCTGTCGCTCAGAGACCTCGCCATGCCCCACCTCGACCCGTCGGTGCACTTCCCTGCAGTGGGTGCGTATCCAGGGTGACGGCTCGGCGCACGCGTGGCGCGTGGCCCCTCAGGGCTACGCGACGTTGGGACATGCAGGATGTTCCCTTGACCTTCGCAGATCTGACGTGTCGTGGAGGCCGGGCAGCCGCCCCCGCTTTTTAGAGTTTTTCTCTGCGAAAACAAAAGGACATAACAGTAAATCGTCGTGCTACAACGCTATTGCCGACACACGCCCCAAAGGTTTTCGCACAGCGCTATGACGCGCTCGCATGTCGGCACCTCGTCTCGCATCCACGGCGACATGGGGCCCCTAAGGAGTTCGACTGCGGCGGGCCCCCCGCGCCCCGCGTCAAGGTCGCCCGAGGGTCACCTCCAGCTGAGCAAAATGTTATGGGATTTGGGAAGGCAACGAGTCTGGACAACACACACGTTGCGGGCTCGTGATGAGTTATCATGTGAAGGGTTGGTCTGGCCGCACGTAAAGTTTAATCTTAATCTAACTACTTTCCTCGGGTCACGCGAGTCGTTGTGGCTCTTTGTTGGCATGGATGGCCCTAAAGCAAACAGCCGCAGTGGTCTCCGCGACGCGGGCAAGTTATTCAGTGAGTACGCACGTACTACGTAAGTACGCGGAGTACGCCCGTAAGTAAGTGCGCGGCGCACTGCAGAGCAAGGGTGTGGCGTATGAATGACAATCCACTTCATGAATGCGAAGAGCGCCTGTCTCGGCATTACGCATGCGGCCTGCCTGCAGGGACGGCCTTGGGAAGGCAGATGGGCAGATGAGCCACCCTCCCCTCACCCGTCTCTTTCTCCCCCCCCCCCCCCCCCTTTTTTCCCTTTCCATTTCCATCCCTGTGTGAAATTTTGCCATGTGATTCTCTGGGCTGGGAAGTCCTCCTGTCGGAAGCCGATCCCAGCTGCAGAAGGATATGGCACGATGCCCCCTTACTGACCCAAACTGTAACACCGCTGCGACGATCGTGTCGGCGAATCTTGATCTAGGAAATGGGCACAATGTAAGAGCGCCTCTGCAACTGAAAACTACGTGTTCATAGCACCATTCGTACGCAGGCGCACAAGAATAGCCACAAGATCATTCTGAATAATAATCATGACACAATCTAGCTACACAGACACGCCGCCTGTGTCTCGAAACGCGTATGTAGACATTTCCATGAAAAATTTGCAAAGCTAATAGTAATAATGCAAAATACATATGTTAAAAATACAATGAAAAATTTCCTTCCTCCCCCCTCTCCTCCTCCTCCTACGGGAATGTGAGACTGCGGGCGCAGGCCTGTCGTCGTTTCTTTTTCATACCCATACAAATTAAAATTTACACCGAACGCGGATACGCTACTGTTTTTGCTGAAAGTCGACTATGTTCTGTTTTCAGCCACCCTAGTCCACCTTTCGCACCCACCCCCGGCCCCGTCCCAGCTCGCGCCTTTCCGCAGCGCCCGCTCCTCTGCCCCTCCCGGCAGCCCGGCCACCCGCCTCCCCCAGGACTGCCAACCCCGCCCCCAGCGCACTGCCCCCGTCCGACCCCTCTCCCGCTCCCCGAATTGATCGCAGCTGTCAGCTGATGGAGTTCCCACGGCTCACCCGGCTCCCGCAGCAGCAGCAGCAGCAGCAGCAGCGGCGGCGTCGGCGTCGGGCACGGGTCCCTCTCGCCCAAGATGTTCGGCGATGCTGCAGCCAGCCCCTGGGTCTTCTTCATCTGCTGTGTTTACAGTGCTCAAATGGGGTTGTCGCCACTGCTCTGCCCGTTAACAGACTAATAGATAGATGCCAGGGAAGAGGCGTGCCAGACAATGTGGTTCTACGAGCTTGTATCGTAACTAGTGCGACCAAACTGGAACCTACTTGGTGCCCAGACTTCAACTTCAACTAGGATCATCACCGCAAGAGCTCTCGCTTTTGGCTACGTAACGAGTAATGGGTAGGCACTTTGCAGTCCAATTCGCCTGTGAGTAGGCAAAAAGTGGGACATTACTTCCTCGAAAAAATGAAATTCTGTCTTCGCTCCTGCCTTGGCCTGGCCGGCCCACCTCGGCGTCGCCCTCCATAGGGGGCCGTGAGCAGCACGCGCCTCTCTCGCGCTCCCCTCCAACCCCAAGGCCCCCGCCAAGCGGAGGTCGTCAGCCTCGCGGACGAGCTCGCGGCGCCTCGCGGGGACCAATAACAGCTAGCTTGGCGTCGTCAGCAGGAAGTCGGCACTCTGGCGCGATGACGCGGCCGCCGCGCTGCCGTCATGGCGGCCGACGGCCGCTAGGTACATCGCCGACTCCAAGTTCGCGGCTCTAAAGTGCTCACCTCGCCTCGCCCCTCTCCCTACGCGCTCACCCTGAAGGAGCTTCAACGACTCGTTCTGTACTCTCTCACATTGTCCTTCCCTCTGCGCCGTTTGTAGCTGGAGCAGCACGAATCGATGTCAATCCGACCGTCCGATCCGTCAAGCAGACCCTCGGCATGCCCCCACTGGCCAGCCCTTCACTATGAAGTATGCAATAGTACTGTCTTTAGCAGCGGCAGCAGAGGGCGGCGGCCCTCAGTCAGCCGCAATAAACGTGCACAAGTACAGTCCAGAAGCGAGCAGTGCCGCACGGAACGAAAAGAAGGGACACTATGGAAGGAGGGGATGGGGGAGGGGAGACCAGGGTGCGGCAGGCGGCACTGGCAGCAGGACGACTGGCGGCGGCCCAACGGGTTGCACGCGGTGCTGGGGCCTGTCCTCGTGCGGTGGACATGTCATGTAAAATACAGCCGTAATTGACCAAAAGTGGCTTTCCGTGATTCGTACCGACTACTTCGGCTCGACTCCTTTTGCCTCGTCTCGACTTAACGACGTAAATGCGCGGATTCGAGAGAGACGCCCCCCCCCCTCCCGCGGGGCGCGTAACGATCTGGCCTTCCCCGAAACTGTCGCTGCCCGTCTCGTCTCGTCTCGTTTTGTGGCGTTGTGTCCGCGCCGGCTGCGGCGCCGCTGCGGCTCTGACAAATGTACCCCAGTTTTGTTCTCGGCCTCAAAGGGAACGAGTCGTCCCCGCGCGACTCCCATTCACTTGCCCTATTCATCCCCCCCCCCCCTTTTGCTCGTCCGTTCAATCAGTTATTCATTCATTCAAACCGTTCGGTTGACTGCCTGTTTGCTTTGCATCATTTCGTCTCTCATTTATGCATTCCCCATAACTCATTCATCCTAATGCCATTCATTTTCAAGTCTTTGGCGCGCGTTGCACCACTGACCCACGGCCCCGGCCAGGTGTTCCAGGGCCCCGCTGCCTGCCACCGCGGGTCGGCACGCGTCACGCGAGGC